CATTCATTCCAGAGGACATAAAGATCGTGAGGACACTTAGTCAGCTGAGCGTTGCCAGTCTCGGATGCGCCACTGTTCAACACACGAGGGGCCCGGGGCCTCCTTCTTACGACTGGTGCCATTGCAGCTCTTTGGGACAACTCAATAGCTCTATTAAGCTTCTGATTGAATCTTGCTTCACTTGCAATCTGTCGATTCTTGATCTCATTCACTTCATTGGCTGTAGCAAACAGCTTTGAGAACATTGCATGGTTCCACTGCAACTGAGTCCTACGAATCCCAACAGCACCAGCTCCCCCGCCGCCTCCACCATCCAGCAGATCATCTGGATCTGCAAGCTCATCGAAGTGAACTTGCCCACTGAATTCATTAGCAACCAGCTCAACACGCTTGATAGGATTCACATCACCATCCAACCTATCAGCAACTGGAAGACTATAATTCAATTGAATCCAGGAACCAACGACATCCCTCTTTACATCATCCGGGACCAACCCGGATGCTTGCATTGCCGGATCACAGCAAGCCCAAAGCAACGCTTTGCCAAGGATTGCAGCCACTTGATCTCCAAATACATTTGCAATATTAGGGGCAACTGAAGAAGCAAGCCACTCATCCGTGATTCCCGGCCTTTCAGGCTTGTAAAGACAAATTCCTCCAAAGCAAAGCTTCGATGCAATGTCAATATCACGCCAAGCAAGCTGTGTATCAGTATATCGATCCTGTTGTCTTTTAGACTTCCAAAGCGCCCTGTAATCAACATTGTCCCTGCATCCCCCAGACTGTCTTGCAAAAGTTGTTGCAAACTTCCTAAAGGAATGAGTTCCCAGCTTGCCTTCCGAATCTGGTCTTTCACGACCAAAGGCTTCATTATCAAAGACATAGCGCTTGATGAATCGAGCATAAGCAGCCTTTCCTTTGTTAATCTCTTTCTCAATGTCCTTTGGGTGAGATCCCCTGTCTGTTACTCCTTCAGTGAACAGCCACTGGCCTGCTGCTCCTTCACCATCTTTGCACCACTTTTCAAGGAATAAAGCAAGTGCTAGCACCACACAGCTCCTATGATCCATTGATCCAAGCAGTATTTGTCTCGGGCAATCATGTTCCTCCCTTACATTCTTAGACCGTCTTAACTTTGCTGTAAGGAACTGGGGAAATTCAGCTGATTTTTCCAAGCTGTCTTTGCCAACATGAGCCATATCATCGTTATGGCCAATCAAGTGGAACTGGAACTTAAGCATTGCAAGGAACCTGAGTCGGTTGGTAATGGAACCATGATTCGACATCAGTTCTAGTGTTTGCAAAAACTCATCCTTTGTAAGAGGCCTATCCATGCTGCTTGCTTGTCCAAGTCCTCTAGTTTCCTTCTTGATAACAGCCACAATTAGGTCATTCACTAGCTGGGACTTGGTAGGATTCCCACTTCCAACACCGGCAACAACTGTCCATTTCTGCATCTTGTTTGGCATAAAATAGGAGATTGCTTTCTTGTAATAGATTAGGGACGTTGATCTACCATGAGTAGGATTATCATCTACACCAGGATCCTCCCGACCAAAAGCTTTCTTTGCAAAGAACTTGTAAATATGATCCGGCGTTAGAATACTCAACTGCTCATCCGTGAATATAGTATCATTTGGAAATCGATTATCCCCATTGTCTCCTCCTTCATCCACTCTTCCATGTACATGATCCATTAGCTCAAGCAGAATCTTGTGATATCTCCCCCATTGCCCTGGCTGGTTCACGTCTCGTGGAGGCGTTACAGTCCCCCCCCTTCTTTTCCGAGCTGGGAGACGCCGTCGATTCATCCCTCCTCTTGGTGTTCTTGCCATTACTAGTAGTGGTAGTAGCGTTGCTTCTTTGTTTCTGTTGCTTGGGGGGTTTTGCTCCTTGTAGTACTCGTATGATGCAAGGAGCAGTGGCGTTTTGCTTGTACTCGTACGTACTATGCGTACTATGCAAGGAGGAGCAGGATTGGGGTTTTGCTTGAACCGGTACTCATATGCAGCAAGGACTGCTTGGTACTCGTAAGGACTGCAAGCAAAGAATGCACCTCTTGCGTCGTGCGTCGTGAGTCAACGCGTCTTGAGTCAACGCGTCGTGAGTCAACAATGCTGGGGACTAAGAATGTGCAACGATACTTTGCAGCTGTTTTTCGATACTTACTAGTAGTATTCTTCTTGCTGATACTGCTGTTTTTCGATAGTTAGTATTTGCTTGTCTTCTTGCTTGTTGGGGTTTTGCTTGAACCGGTACTCGTATGCCATACTCGTAAGATGTTATTTTGTGAGCAAAAAATGCACCTCTCGTGAGTCACCACCGGGGGGAGGGAGTTGCAAAATTGTTGCATACTCAGTGTAATTTGCTCTGTCTTAAGCAACCMAAAGAGGWACGGATGCGACCACAGCARAAAARCTAATACGGTTGCACAGTAGAATTCCTACCAGAATTCATGTAGGGGAGGTAAGTACGGTGGTAAATGGAGTGGGGCTAAGTGACGTGTTATAGCCTACGTAAAATCTTACGTATTTTAAGTACTGATAGACTCCTTCGACCGTTTTGAGAAATGGGTTGCAAAAATTTGGTACCAGTACCGTATGGCAGAGTACGGTACGATACTAGCACTAGTACTACTACTAGTAGTAGTAGTCCTCTAAAGTAACAATACTACTCGTACTAGTAGTACTATTAAATACTATCTGTAGTACCTACTGGTATACTTTGCAACCCATTTCTCAAAAATATTTTATGGGGCCCATGGTAGGGAGTGTACACAAACTCAGGTAAAGGGGTGGAACGTAGTAGTACTAGTAGTACTACTAGTAGTAGTAGTAGTAGAAGTATTGCTTGTACCAAAATTCTTGTTACTACCTGCTATTTTGTACTAGTACTACACTACTACTAGTAGTAGTACTAGTAGTAGTACTTTCAACTAGGATGCAACCATATTAGCACCCGTCATCTGGAATGCTGCATTCCATATTCAGTTGCCCAAATAATACTAGTAAACATGTGCTGTTGAGTACTACTAGTAGTACTGGTATGACCAGTTTTGCAACTCCGGCGGTGCCTCAAGAATGTCATTCCTGCTGGCAACTAAAGTATTGTAAAAGAAACCATGGTAAAGTATTACAAAAACAACACTATGCTACTCCTCCACCCACTGTTGAAGCTGCTCACAAAATCAGGTACAGATTCACCAAACTACTACTACTACTACTACTACTACTACTACTACTACTACTACTACTA